AGAGAGAGAGAGAGAGAGAGAGAGAGAGAGAGAGAGAGAGAGAGAGAGAGAGAGAGAAAGAGAGAGAGAGAGAAAGAGAGAGAGAAAGAGAGAGACAGAGGGAGAGTTTCGGGAATGCATGTGCCACCCTAGCTGTGTATACATACTTGATTTTTCGAATCCGTGTTGATGAAGTCTGCGTCGGACGTGTGCTCATCTCTATGACAATGCATGCCACATCATCTAACCATCAACGTGCAAACATTGATTACTTTCGCTGGCAAACGAAAGGATTGACTTGCACGATTCCTAAAAGACAGCGGGTGGCTCTAAGTACAGTCCACCCCTAAACTAGTGACCCCCTCGATCAACAAGTTGTGCAAAATACAAACGATGATGAATTGCTGGGGCAGATTCTCCATGTTCGTCTTGTGGTGGCCCAAAACCAGCCGCCACATCCCCTTCAGTCTCCCAAATGCTTGTTCGACAACATTCCATGATCACTTGTGACACGTGTCGAAATGCGCCTCATCGGGAGGTTGCTCTACTTCACCGTAAGCTGAGGCACTACAAGCCAGGGCAAGGGTCCATAGCCGTTGTGCGCGAGGACGTACCCCCTCGTTCGCACCCCGTGTGGCAGGTCCACCGCATCCGCCAAGAACAAAGTGTCAGCTTCTGCACGTCTGTACAACGACGAATTGATCAAAACCATGGCGTCGTGGATGCTGCCCGGATACCCCACGTGAACATCCAACACACGCATGTCGAGGTCGACGACGACTTGAGCAATGACAGAGTACTGCTGCTTTCGATCGAAATAGTTTTCTGCTGGCTCATTTGCTGGCGTGTCGACGTACACGTGACCGCAGTCCATGCAACCAAAACAGTTTGGGAATCCCTTTGCTGCAAACGCTCGTGTAACCTGCAGCAACCGCCGACCTGTCGGCATCGCTATCTTGTCCGCATATGCAGACAAGATAGCGTTCGTCACGTCCCTCACCGCCTTGATACCACTCGACCGCCCCATCCCAAATGACGATGTTGCACTGTCAAACGTCTCGCCGCTCGCCCACCTGTACAGAGCGAACGCCACCAGCTGCTCCGACATCAATGGAGTGCGGTAATGAGTGAGGGACCGTTGAAGAAAAGGAGTGCAGGTGGCAACGATGTCGTAGAACGCCCCTCTCGTCATTCGTAGTTTCTCATGGAAATAGTCGTATGTGGTGTCATCATCAATTATGAGATCTTGCCATGTTCCGTCGGTTCTCCTCCGAATCCACCACCGTGGCGTCTCCCTAGGAAGGACGCCCGACACAATGGCATTCGCCATAAGGAACGGCGCATCCCAAACCGTGGCCCACGAATTCGAATCCGCCATGGCGTGTGTGACGATGGCCTCCCTCACCCCGGCTCTTCTCGCCGGACTGCGCCGCAATGCTGCTGTGTGCTGCAGATGTGTCGACACGGCGAGCAACGCTGTAACCATCAGGTGTTTCTCATGCTGGGACAGTTCTCAACGACGTGGCGCAGAGCCGTGCGCCGCCACGCACGAAAATTGGATGTCCTCCATGGACAAGAGCTATGGCAGTCCACTCAACGCATGGTGCAACGAACAACTCCCGACGAAAGGAAACTGGCGGCGGTGTCCACTGTCCTCGCACGCGTCCAAGTGCAGTGCAAGCCCGTGTCCACTTCCTCGCGCGTGGCAATTCTGTAGGCTGCGCAGTGCCGCACTCTACCCCTAACAGATTTTGAATTTGAAACCCCACCGCCCGCGCGGTCCCACACTGCACCTCGCCCTGACCGGTCCCTAGAGTCCCAAATGGCACATCGTAGGCGGACATATTCAAGGCCGGGTGCCGGCCTACTGGATTGAAAACCTGCCAGTGGGTCTCCGCACAAGGGGGAGCCAGGGTGTTTTTCTTTCAAGTGCGACATTTTCACGCTCGGTCTCTAGTATGCATGGAACGAGGAGGAGGCTTAGTGTAAATAAATCAAGATTTCGTGATTAGGGCGGACTTGAAACTCAAGAGTTCTCAAGTGGTGTGGAACGAGGCTCTTAGTGCAGCCGTGATGAACTCTTGATTTCTCAAGATTCAACAGTGGTGCAGCGAGGCCCATAAAAAAGAAAAAAGGGCCTTGCTCCACGTTCCAAAGCGAAAGGCGAATGTGCAAAGTGGAACTGGATTTCCCCCCCTTCCACCCCCGGCGAACCGTGTCTCGGGGGGCAGGGGCAGCGAGCTGCCTGCTTCGGTGAAACGCCCGCCGTCCTGGCTGCGCCCCGACGCACCGCGTGGGCTCGTGCCAGTGTGAGTGCTCCCTGATTCTGGACGTGTTTACGAGCAGGTTCATGAAATCGATCTTCGTTTCTGCATTTTTTTAGTGAAGGTCCGTCCAGGTTCAGGCATTTTCTCCAATAAGAAAACGGTCAGTAGGAGCGGCGGAAGGGAGAAAAGGGCGAAGAACGATCTGTTTTTCTGCATTTTTTCCCGAAGGGACGTCCAGGTTCAGGCGCTTTCTCCAATGACAAAACGGTGAGTTCCTCGAAGGTCCATCCGTGTAACGAATTTTGCAGGCTGGGCACTCTCAGCCAACGGACAGTGCTTTTGTACCGTTGTGTTTCTGATAGGTATCCGAGGGTTTTTGGTTTGTGGAATCGGGCAGTTGGCGCAGCCATGAAAAAAGCTCTTAAAGTGGAGAGAGTGGAGAGAAGTGCAGTGGTGGAATCGGGTTTTTGAGTGCTGTATCCCTTCTGCTTTGTTTTGAGCTGTGTTGTGTCTGCCGACAGCTGTGTTGAGTTGTGTGCGATACCGTGGTGTGTCCGCACGGCTGTGGAGTCTGTGTGTATGTTGTGATTTACGCGCTCCGCTGTACTCTGTGGTGTGGTGCGCACTTACACTTCTCTTATGTTGATTTGTTTTCTTATTTGTTCTCATTGTGGTTGTTCTGCCGTGGCAACAGCTGTGGCCACTGCGGCATTTTACGACCCCTTGTGGATGAAGTGAATGGTGGAGCCACCGTTCTCAGCTCGCACGTCTGTCTGTGGTTGGTGGAATCGGAAAGTGCTGCCTCGTGACCTCCAGGGTGGCGCTTGTGTGTCACACGTTGCGAGTATAACTCCATTCCCGCGTTTTTTTTCCGGCGTTCTTTTGAACTGTTGCTAGTGACTATCACGTGGTGAGAGTAGCGCGCTGCTTCCTCATCTGGACAACGAAGCAGTGGCCTCGGAGAGAGTTGCCGGGTCAGCAATTCTCCGGCGTGCTTGTGTTGACGTCATCGGCGGCTGTCAGCAAACAGAGAGGTTGTGCAATGGCGGTGTTGCGGAAAAGTTTCTCGACAACGGACCGCGCTATGTGCGCGGTTGCAGTTTTTGTTGCTCTTGTTCTTTATCGCTCGGCTACAAGCGCCCAAGGTCAGGAGGTGCAGCGCTTGAAACCTGTGGACCTTTGCGACTTTTTTATGGAGGGGCTAGGCTATGGAGATATACCAGTTATTGTTCTAAATGCAACAGGAAGTGACCAGTCGTACGGAGTGCCGCTCACCAGCATGGTTGTCCAGGGGTAAGTCTTGTTTGGGTGCTGACCTTGGCTCTGATCATCAACCTCCCTCAGTTCGCTTGAGCACTGTTTCATGCTTAGTGGCCTTCCCTGCTCTCTGTCCCTTTCTCCTGCTCTCTGTCCCTTTCTCCTGCTCTCTGGCCCTTTCTCCTGCTCTCTGGCCCTTTCTCCTGCTCTCTGGCCCTTTCTCCTGCTCTCTGGCCCTTTCTCCTGCTCTCTGGCCCTTTCTCCTGCCCTCTGGCCCTTTCCCTGCTCTCTGGCCCTTCCCCCTGCCGGTGTCGTTCCTCCTCCGCCGGTTCCTGCTGCTCGGTTATTATCCCTTATCTTCTGTGATCCACCTCATTTCCTGCTGGGATCCCTTTGCGTCCCTCACCTGCTCGGATTCTTGCTTCCTCTGCTCAGGTCTACCCCTGTTTTCATATCCTTCTCCCTCTCAGTCCGATCTCTCGTCCACTCTGTTCTCATCGTTTTTCCACCCTTCGCGGATCCTTCTGGTCCTATCCTTCTTCCCCCGGCTCGGACTCGTTTCCCCGTGCTCGGATCCTTTCCCCCCCTTCTCGGATCCTACTTCCGCCTGCTCGGACCCTTTCTTACGATCCTTTTGCCCCTCTGCTGCTCTGATCGCTCTTCCCCCTATTTTGAAGGATCCGTCTACCGTCCCGTGTCTTCTTCTTCTACCCCAAATTCGACTCTTCTGGCCTTGCCTCGTTTCCCCGTGCTCGGATCCTTTCCCCCCCTTCTCGGATCCTACTTCCGCCTGCTCGGACCCTTTCTTACGATCCTTTTGCCCCTCTGCTGCTCTGATCGCTGTTCCCCCTGTTTTGAAGGATCAGTCTACCGTCCCGTGTCTTCTTCTTCTACCCCAAATTCGACTCTTCTGGCCGTGCCAACCGTCCCCCTTGTTCGTCGAATCAGTCCTCATCGGCGCAGGTACCTACTCGGCAGGATCGTTCCCTTTCTGCTCGTATTCTTCCCACTGAGCTCTCCCTCGAATCTCGGGTCCGTCTCCCTGAGATTTGCCCTCCTTTATCCACACATTTTGGGTGCTACGCCGTCTGATCGGGTCCGTTGTTCGCTTTGGTGAGTGGGAGTGCATGTCTCTGTTGTTGGTGGGAAGGCTGATGTCTTGATCCTCGGGAATTGTGTTGGTGTTTCTGTTTGCAGGGTTGAGCAGAAGGTTCTGAACGCGAATTCCGGCCCGTGCGCGTTCCTCTCCCCTGCGGGGGTGGACTTTTCCTGCGATAATCAACTTTATGTCAGCGGTAGGGTGATTCGATCCAGAACTTTCAACAGGCCCATTTACGATTTCATCAACAAGCTTGTGGTCATCTATCTCGTCAATGTGCAGTTGAACGGGACCACTCTCTTTCTGAATGACACGAACACCCTGTACAGAATGGACAGGCGATGTGTGGCTGTGTATACAATGTGAGGGGATCAGTACTCGACGAGAGATTAACTTCAATTTATCATGGTGTTATATTTCTTATTTATTATTGCGAGGTTCAGGCCATGCCTAGCTTAATCTGATTTATCCTTCTCAGTGTCGGCTGGCTCTCATTTTCAGATAGTAGGTAGGTATAGTGATGGTGGCATTCCCTAACGCTTGTGCTCTTGGAGAGGAGGGGGGTGGGAGAGTAGGGGATCACGTCGCGTAATTGTCGTCCGCTGGAGTTGACTCAATGGCTCGAGACAGTAGTATGAGCCCGGGTGAAATGACTCTTTGCCTATGTCGGGCTTGGCAATTGAGGATTCGAACTGCCGTTGTTCGGCTTGAGCTGTGTCTGCCGAGGACGTTGCCAGGGGACAAGGGATCTCGATGGGATGATTTATCCTTGTCTCTAAGTGGCAAAGGAAATTGGAGGGAAACAGAAGCAAGTTGGGAGTCGGAACGATGAGGCAGGGTAGAGGAGGGGAAAGGAAGTTGTGGAGAAGAAACGCTCAAAAGTGCAGGAAGGTGCTACATTGGGGAAGGGTGGGTCTGAAACGAGGCTATTTTATTCAGGCTGATGTCCGACCGTGCTTGCGCGTGTTCACGATGTGTTTGCCAATTCGTCTGTGTGTGTGTGTGTGTGTGTGTGTGTGTGTGTGTGTGTGTGTGAGAGAGAGAGAGAGAGAGAGAGAGAGAGAGAGAGAGAGAGAGAGAG